CAATCAACATCAATCAACATCAATCAACATCAATCAACATCAATCAACATCAATCAACAAATTCAATCATCACATCACAACTAATCAGAACTGTTTGCCCCATATTGCCCCCAAACCAGCCGAGTTTTCAATCTAAACATGTCTAAACCAAAAAGAAGCTTCCACTGTTCTCACTGATCCAGAGCCGAACTGGCCTGTCCAAAGGACTGTCCCACGGAGCCGAACATCCCACCGACATCCACCGTCCTCCCCAGACCGCAGTGCTCAACGAGACCGCGGTCTGCGGTTTTTTCATGATCTGCGGTGGCTTTGGGGTCTGCGGTTGGACCCTGAATGTTTGACTTCTCTGGATCTGACATTCGAATTCCAACCAAAGACTTCATCATTTCTGAAATGTGAAGGCGCATGGGTCCTACCGAGAAACATGGTATAGGAATAATGTTCTGCAAAGGAAAGAGTTCATGATTCAGTAGGCTTCGATTAAATAGCACAGCCCATGCAGTCTGAGGATTCTAATTGGAGAAAAGCCGTCAGCTTTGGGCGTTTGTGGTCTACTCTGATGGCATACAGTCCCTGTAGGGAGCCAATGTTCCACTTTCATCCTCGTCTGAGGCAAGCCATTGGAGTGGGTGTAGAACGAAGTTCCAAGGACGTCTCAAGATATCCTGGAGTCGAACATGTTGGAAAGTGTCAAACATCTTCCATTTCCACTGCTACTAGGCTGGAGGCCATCGCTAGTAGCTTGGAGGCCATTGCTGTTAGAAACAAAGAAAGAAGAAAAGGAAGTGGTCGAATGGTCGAACATGTCTCGTCACCCGCAGCACCTGTGCCGAAGCCCCTCCCCAGGGTCCACCTGTCAGCACGTCGGGCACGTGAGGGTGCATCTTGCATGAGGTTCGCTCAAGTGAACAGAAAATAAACTTGGAGTAACTTGGAAGTGTCCTAGTTCGCCTAATGTTCGCTCAATTGAATTGGGTGGCAACAATATGCAACAACCAATCACTCCGATTAGGCAGGCTTGGAAGGATGACAAAGAGATTGAAAGTAGGGCTTTGATCAGGTCCAGCACTAGTCACTAGTTGCACAAGGATCATTTCCTCAACAGCTTCGAGACAAAATCTCCGTGTTTCCCTGTTCCATTGTGGGGCTCTCGACTTCATTCTCAGGACATCCGTGCCTTGCATGCCTTGCATGGTGGCAATTCGCCGGCCCAAGCGGAGGTATGACTAAATACTTCAACGATAGGCATTGGTACCGCGTCTAGGGCCTAGGGCACCGAGGCACCCTGCCTGACACTAATAGCACAATGTATAAAATGTGCACAGATTATATGATCATTATGTTGCTATCTCCTACTTGTATATTCTTGTATAGCTACATGGGACTCCTGAGCTGTTGGGCCTGATGGAAGTTGAAGAACTGTCTTGAAAACACCCACGCCAATCTTCAGCTAAATTGTTTAGCCTGTGGCTGCCATGGCTGTTTCTCCCGGGGTAAATATTTGCATGCCACAACACATGTACAAACCTCCATCAAGCTTCATGATTTGACTCTGTATGGACTTAATTGCTTTTGATAGAAGCGGAGCAAATTGACTGTTGCAATCTCATGCAATCTCATGGCCCTTCGTGTGAATTGCTCTCTGTATGACGCTGAGAGCCAGGGTCGGAATGTGGCTCCACTGGACCCGCAGCACAAGATGTTTTGGGTCTCTTTGGGGTGCTCTCAAGTAGGGGCAGAATAGCACGCGCTCATGGTTCGAGGGTGGCCCACACCCCCAACCACTTGTTTTTGTCCTGGTGTTGGTCGTCCACCTTTATTCTGGCAACCACGTTACTGGTCCAAACGTGGATGCGCATAGGTGGGTCCAAATGCTTCCTTCAAAACTGACGGAAACCGCCAGGTTTGGGCTTGATGATGTCCATTGATTTCCGCTTCCCAGTGGTTGCTACGGCAATGTTTGAAGGGTCAGGGGGGGTCGTGGCACCGCTCTGAAACCACCCGCCTATTGGAAGGTTTCGCCTGGGATCCAGCGAAACTTGCATGAACATCGGACCGCTGGCAGTGCCTCCCGTGCGTCTGGCAGCATGTCCAGTCTATTAGGACATCTAAGAACACCGAGCACGGTACTGCCGCTGCAGGATTTTGCCACATGACCGTACCATTCCCCTTGCTAGCTTCTGCGCGTTCTGTGGTTCTTCTCTCTGAAACACATCCCAAATGCACGTTCTTCGTTCCGAAGAGAGGTCCCTCTGCACATCGAAGCACCGCCCTCGAAATGGGCCCTCTGGTTCCATTCTTAGCAAACATTGTTACTAGTAAGGCACTTGTTACTACTAGCGATGCACTTGTTACTACTAGCGGGGGGAGGGGTAGCAAATTTCTGTAGTTTGAGGCCTTTCCAGACTTCAACCTACTTCCCTTTCCGACCTGCCCTCCGTCGGGGCACAATGGAGGCCGTACCTTCCGATCGGGAGCATCCGCAAAGGCGATGTCCGTGGCAGTACCTGGCAGATGGACCAATGACTGCGGGAAATGCATTGTGAGACAATCTTAGGGCGATGATGCTCGACAGGCTGAGCTGATTCACTCATGATGCTTGGTGTCGTGCACTCAACTTTACAGCAACAACGTTTTGCCTGCCCACCCACTGAAAGAAATACCCAGCACGTCCCGAACGCCGGTTTTCCCCAAGGCTTCACTGGCCACTTGTTGGCCGGTCAAGGGACCAGCTTCATCCCAGCTCGGCAGACGTCACAGTGTCGCAGCTCATTTTGTGTCGGATCCGCGATCCTGGTTGGATTTTCATTCGATCACTTCCACATGGCAGGATTTGGATCTTGATCATCTCAAAAATATGTACGCAATAAGAAAAGATCACATCCACATGCGTCCGCATTGTTTGGAATTATCCTTTGTGTTGACGAGAAACCGGTCCAGGCAAACAGCGTCGCTCACCCATCCAATTGTTTAGAGCTCAGCAACTCCGAGCCTGCCTTATCTGATTGAGTCCCACATGGGAGTTGGGCACTCCATGATGGGCCAGTGGTTAACAAAGTTCTCATCGAGGATTGAAACAACTAACCAAGTTCAACAAGGAATCATAGAAACATCATCAGTCTCATCTCTGATCTACTGGAGAAAACACTTTTAAAAAATAACCCGACAAGTTGAATCAAGTCATGTGTATATAACAGGAAGAAACAATGGACCCAAGTCAGCCGCGCTAGACTAGATCGCACCACAACCACTGACCCAGCCTTTAAAGCGCCCATCCCGTGCACCAAATTAGACCATCCTGCGGTCACGAACATCAGGTTTTGTTCACTGCATTGCGTCGGGCCCAAAGCCTCTCAAAGACAATCACGTCATGACATGTCATGTGACCCTGGACAAGTGTGTATGTATATTATATGATATGTATTATGTATATGTATTGTGTATATGTATATATAATATGTATATGTATATTAAATGGTGTCATGATGCATCATGCTCATGTATATATCTAGATACAGAAGACACCGCCTTGAAATGTGTACCTTGTTTCTGTGTCTGAGAAGAAACGGGATTCTTCTGAGTTTCCAAAGTTGTTCATTGAATTCTTGTTGACAAGGCCAAATTCCAGAGGATGTTTCAACCAAGGCTCTCTCATTGAAAAAGCACCTTTCTGCTTCAAAGCACCAACTTATCCTTCTATTGACAAAATACTTTGCCAGTTTGATACACATGAATGCAACAATATGTTTGATGAGGACCCCTCTTGAGTCCAAACCTGCAGGCAAAACATCCCTTCAAAACACAATTGCCTGCAACAATTATTCCAGGTGCATGCTTCTATGCACATACTTACATTATTGTACATGTCACCATCCTACTTTAAGCGCTTCAAGGCACTCTTTAGCGAAAGTGGTACTGGTTGGACATACAAGCAGCAGGTGCGTTTAAATAGAATATAAGTTAGTGCTTTCAAAAAAGACAAGTCGCGTGCAGGTGCAATACAGTTGAGTAGTTGAAGCAATCATCGATACACTTATCAGCAAATCAACACCAACTATACCTTGTTTAATGAAGAGTGCCACTGGGAGGTTTCACACCAACATGTGCACGTTTGTCTAGGTTTAGGACCATGATGTGCATAACACCAATTTCTGCAGGTATGATATTGTTACAGGAACTGGATAGTGAACACCGTTCATACAAAAACGATTTCCTGAAGAAGGAGGCTCTTGCAAAGGAGAGTACAAACCATGCAGACCTTAGACACAAACAGCACAAGAGTTTCCTTGAATATCAAAAAAACAACAGTTCTCCTTAGGGAAACTGAGATCCTCATAAAGAACGAACCCTTTATTGGATGCACAAGCTGCCTGAACGGCGGCAAACCTGAGCCAATACCTCAAATGTTGAGCAAGGGTGCACAGCCAAATCAAAAAATACATGATTTTCTGGTTCAGAACGTGGAGACTTTGGATTTCTTAGGATTTAGATTGATTCGATTTCGTCTCTTACACACTCGCACAGTCATGCACAGTCACGGCCGTCAGCCACCCGTTGCCCTCGTCTTGCAGTCCCAGCTAACGCTCTGTGCGCTCGGGATGCGCGAGTCGCCATCCGTCGCCTTGTTGGTGAAGCCAGGCAAGGCATTCCTGTGTCCAGCCACCTGCCACTGCGTTCTAGGAGCTCCTCGCCTTACTACTAGCAGCAAGCACGCTACCGAGGGACTTCTGGCATCGCTACTAGGAGCAAGGACGCTACTAGGGGCTCCTGGCATCGCTACTAAGGTGGAGCCCCCTGGAAACTCTGCTCACGGCCGTCTCCAAACATCGCAGCATCCCAACACACGCAGCAAGTCGTCAGGGCCTGACATCCCAAATCCGTGTGGGCCGAAGTTCCGCCGAAGATATGTACCTCACCAGACAACTTCTCCACACACCAGGGATTACTAGTGATGAATGTAGTTCAATGTAGTTTTGTATCGGCGTGATTTGCGCGTGGCCAAATGCGATGATATGGATTTTTGACTCCAAGCGGAGCAAATAAAAGAGATGCCAATTCCCCCCGTCAATGGAATCCTTTCTGGCAAAGGACGCTACTAGGAGCAAACGCTACTAAGGGCGCTCTTGGCAAACAGCAATACCACAGTCTCGGTTTCTCTCTGGGGACGTAGGCAGCACTTCTACCCCTTGCAACCTCTGCCCTTCAAATGGTACTGTAGCTCAACAAATCGGCCTGTCCATATGTATTAATCAATAATATATATTATACATTGTCGATATATTCGACGTTGGACCCACAAGTGTCAAACAACAACAGTTTCGGTTGTGACAGGTCTAGACCCACAAACATCCAAGTTACAACAACCTCACTTGCCACGGCACAGTGGATGCGCTTCTTGCGCAGGGCGGCAGCGTAGAGGTCTGTGTGTTGCTTGGGAGGGGAGGCACGGTCCTGCACAGGTGGAGAAAGGCATACCATGCATAGGTGTATAGCCTTTTGGTCTTGGTGTTTGCCGCACTTTATCTGGTGCTGGATCGCTTCTTACTTCTTACAGTAAGGATGAAGAAGCTGATGTTCTGCCACTAGAAGCATGCCTGAAATACAAACACCAAGGACTGCAAGTTCGATCTGTGCATGTGCACATGCAAAACCTTCATGTATCTTCACAAAGTGAGCTGCCTAACCAAGTAAGCTTCTCTGTCAGAACTCGAGTTGAACAAGAAAACCACAGAAGCAACTAACAGGAAAAACTATGAGCAAGTTGACACGATAATCACCTAATTTGTCTCTCTTCAAGTCTGAGTCATCTTCGCAATATTGTCATCTGTAATTTGTTTGCGAAGCGTGAGAACATTGGTTTGAGAATAGCAACATAAGCATGCATGAGCCCTCTTGCTGCGGTGATCACAGCTATCCAGTAGTCTTAGTGCCATATCTTACAGGCTTAGCCTCCACGGGATCAAAATTAAGGACCTTTAGACTTGCTGATCAAAGAACATATAAGTTTTCATCTAGTAATCACTCCAAAACACATACCTAAGTGAACAACAAAATTTACGGCTTTGGGCGCCCCTCTACCCTTCTGTGACACTGGCATTCCTCCACCCCGACCTTGGTTGAGCTCACCAGAAAGGTGGGCGGCGCAGCAAAGCCTCGCATGCGACTGAATCGGTGGATGCGACTTGAATCGCTCATGGTTGGCTGCTGATTTTCCACTGAAGAAAAAGCAATGGACTTTCGACGCAGGTTTCGAGTGTGTCAACGAAGACTGACCAACGGACGAGGCTTTCGCATGGTTTCGCCACGGCTGCCATGCAGAAGGAACATGTGACTTTGAAACTGAGCCACCAAATCCTGGTCTTTCTTTTCAATGTTTATTCTCAGATCCACGGTCTGGACGGCCAACAATCTGGACGTGCCATTCAAACCACCTCCGGCAACCCACACGAGAACCGGCAACCCACACGAGATGAATCTCCCGGAACGTAGGCCCTGCTGCTTGGGCCACTGATATATATATATATTATATTATATATATACTTGAGAGAGGAGGGGGGTGAACGAAAGGTAGCAGGGAATCAGGCGTAATCCGGGAGGAGGTGAGAGGCCCCCCACTTGTTTGAAGAGAAATGAGTGAGCGTGATGAAAGAAAGACTAATGCACAAGCGCTTGACAAAGCCTCCAGAAGCTGTAGCGGTCTAGCGGTTTCAATACAGGTTGACGTGCCTTCAAAAGGAGTCACATATTTCTCAAATGCAACTTCGGATTTACATAGTGACGTGCGGCGACCCTGTAAATTGCGTGGCCGCAGGCCATGCTTGCAAACAGGACGTGCTCAAAAACACTGGTATTTACGAGGTTTCGTTGCCGTCGATCCACAGCCGCGGCAAGGTCTAAGGCCACGCTTGAAGACAGGAGGAGCTGAAAACACTGGTATTTACGGTATTTTGTAGCCGTCGATCCAAAGGCGCACCACGGTTGAGCGCGGGAAAAGCGCCGGACAGCCACAAAAAACGCTGTAAATTCTAGAAATGATTTTTGGTCACTGCTGAGGACTGGAAGAGCTGAAAACACTGATAATATCAGTGTTTTCGAACGGTTGACCCCGAGGCGCGCTAGGGTGGAGTTGAAAGGGGGGGGGCCCCCCCCCTGGCCAGCAAACGAAGATGTCGGGGACCATTTCTCCGAGAGATAGGCTGCAGCTCTGGGTTAATACATTTTTGCTAAAGCAAAAGGAAAACTCAGGTAGCGTAACCGCTACCTTTCGTGATATATTATATATATATATAGGGCTGAGGTTTCTGTGTAGGACCTTGGTATTCCGACTGTGGATGAACCAAACATGTGAGCTTTTGTGTTCGGCAATTGGCTAACATGCTCGAGTCTTGCCCAACAATCTGGAAGTGGAAAGTTGGACAACCATGGAAAACCCATCTGTTTAGAGGGAAGAAAAACACCTTCCCATCTCCACCTTCAAGTATTTCCAGGAATCTCAAATCCCAGCGCGATGAGTCCTGGCCGCCCTGGCCATGAGTCCTGGCCATGATCCCCCACCCATGGACTCCTAAAGCGGTGCCGTCGGCAGTGCCGCGCCTCTGCCTCCCAGTAAAGCTCGACGCGTCGACTGCAGGCTTTGCCCCTGCACACAGGTGGATTGGAAGCACAATCGATCCGTCCGGCCGAAACCGAACGAAAAACAAATGATTCAGGGAGCCTTCTCTTTAGCAAGGATGTTCAGATTTGGAAGGATTTCGGGAAAACTCTGCATATATTGTGAGGTCCTAAGCATGTTTCAAGCCCACGATGTGGCGACAAAATATAGCTGATTATTGGTCCGTTTCCAGGATTTGGGATGATTTTGCGACCGGAAATTGTCATGGAAATATGCGTCGCATATTATCCTGATTCATGGAACACATGTACCAAACATGCCGCTTCGAACGAGAGGCATTCTGAAGCAGTTGCTGTACTGAATCTGTAGTACTGGATGATGAGATGATTGCTAATGGTGGGATGAGGTTTACCATTGGATTTGGTCAGGTTGGATACTTTGGACTGGCATTACCTATCATCCCTTTGACTCTTTCGTGATTCCATTTGTGAGCTGAGCCAAAGGGTGAGTCACAATCAACCAAGGGTGATTGGATCAAATAACCGGCCCCTGCACTTAAAGCTTTGTGTTTATATCGTTGTGTATAACTTAGTGGTGTAACCCTGTGGATTCCACAACACGTGTCCAGAAGGTAGGGGACTTTCGCACATCGAGATAACAACTCAAATCTTGACTGAAGAGTTCCTTTATGTCAAACTTCCCAGTTCGTCTTGAGGCCTTGCGAAGGAGGCTCCCCTCATTCAGAAACCAAGTGTGGAGGCTTCTCATCTCCAATTCACCAAGTCTTCAAATGTGTCATGGTTAAACAAATCAACTCTCCGACCCAAGGACGTGCAGCTTGCAGGTCACCGTCCACCCTCGCTCTTTGGCTTTTGAGGCACCCTACGATGCAGGGTTTCGGGTGATCCACATTGGGAAGTTGCTAGTCCACCGCATCGATACCCTCTAACAAAGCCACCCATCGCAACTCATGGAACGATCCTCCGAACTGATTGAACCCTATAACACTCGGTGGAGGAGATGTCCATCTCGAGATACACTCCCATCACTATCATTATGGACCTAGAAAATACATCTCCTGGAAACCCTGGCCGCAGCTGTGCAAACAAATTCTTTCAGTGATCAATGTAGCGCTGTTAATCTGTCACTTTTCTCGGAGTTCACCATTGATTGGGATCCTACTTCTCGGCATTCCAGCCCCATTGGCAATGCCCGGAACCATCGATGCCTGTGCAGCACTGCGCTGCACGGTATTTTTTTTGGAGTGCTCAAAGTCTGGGATGTCACCTTCAACCTCCTTCAACACACTTCTGATTCTGCAGCCAAATTGCCGTTCAACTGCCTTGACCACAACCACTGGCTCACTGAATATCCATAACCTGGTCATTGGACAGGACATCCCAAAATCCAGAAACCGGACTGCGAAACGGCCATCGCCATGCGATGCTCGTCCTCACGCGTGACGCCCGTCGTCGCCGTCGGCCCTTCGTCGCTTCAGGAGTCGACAGCTCGAGCTGCGCGGCTCCCCGCGGGGAGTCGACAGCTCCCGGCCGTGAGTCGTGGCGTCCATGTCCTTGGTGTGTCGAGGGTTTGACTGTCGATCCGCTTCACGACCATCTGCTAATTTGATTCCCTTGATTCTATTTGTCTTATATATTTTCTGTAAACGGATTGCTGTGTTTAGGCTTCGTCCCGAAAACGGTGAAACGATAAATGCCGCCCTGTCACCCATCCCACCCTGAAGGTATGTGGATCCCCAGGAAGTGGGTTCCTTCCCATCCAAATCCTCTTGGATCATCGATTGATTGAGCTTGACCAAGACTTCGAGGCAAATTGGCAAAGACATGTTCTTCAATCGTCTGTCTTCGAGGCCCATGTACTGCAAGAGGTCATGTACGTCCACAAGTGCAAGTGAGCCCGTCAGGCAAGCATGGAGCGCAACAAGATCAAAGAAAATGGTTGATTAAAACATGGCCTTGAAATAACACATGCCCCGCTTGTGTGTGTGTGTGTTCGAGACGGATTGCCAGAATATAGACTGGGGGAAGAATCTTACACTTCAAAGTAAGCAATTTCAACTGTAAACATACTGTGAGATTCGGGTTTCTGTAAACAGGAAAGAACACAACAAAAACTCAAGTTGATGTAGCAAACATGGACCTGGACCTGATTTCCCGTGCTTAACAAATCTCCACTTTTGGGATCAACCTCAACCTGTGCTTTTCTGTAAGTGGTCTTTGCTTGGGGATGCATGATCAACCGTAATACACATTGAAAGCAAGACTTGGCAAATCCTCTTGCTCCGTTTGCCGTCCTCTTACTTCCTGCAGGAAATGAATTGAATGAGTTGTTGAACCTGCTAAGTTGCTACTCAACCTGGCGGTCATGCAACAGGACTTTTGGGCATCCGGGTGCCATCTTCCCAGCCACCGATAGCCACCGATACCACCCATGAAGCTCTCAATACCCGGCGTCAAAGAAATCATGGATGTCATCAGCCTCACTTCTAGCGACTCGCAGTGCTCGCAGCACCAGGCGCTTTAGAAGCGCTTCTTGTGACAAGTCCCCTGTTTTCTTCTGCAATGCACAAGTCAAAGCTTCTTGTGATTTGCCAATATTTTATGTTTAGCGGCTGGAATACAGGTTTGACTCCAAGCAGCCCTTGTAAAATAAATCCGAACCTGATTCTGATCCAACAACACCCCCATCTGATCCACCACACTGTTAACTCGGCCTCGAAGCTGGAAGCAAACAACCAAGTAGAACACAACAAACCACCAGACCGAGGAACGCAGCGCATGCTGGGCTAGCTGCTACGTAGCAACTGGAAGAGGGCAAAGTGCTAACAGTGATGGTCCCAACTTGATTGGTTGCATGTTACTGCTACATCCTCGGCGCGAGGATATAATGAACAGAACTGCGATGCGCTGTGCCAGGCAGCTGCATCTTCTGCTGCAGCAGCAGCCGTCACTGAATTGGCGAGCAGCCGGCCTGATGCTGTGGCTTCGGAAGCTCCGCTGACGAAAAGGACGGATAAAAACAAGGGGTTGTCTCACTTCACAGTCACACCCTCCCCCCAGTACACGATGCTAAAAGAACCAAGTGATCTGTTGAAGCGTTTTCACTTGCCACGGCCACAGAGTATCACTGGGGCAAGCTAAGCAGTATTTTGGCAGGTCCATGCCTCGCTCCTTCAGGAATGTCCCAACGATCGTCGATTGCCCTGCGACGACATCGGCCATCTCCGTCCAAAGGGCGAAGGAGACCCCGGAGAACGAGCATCTTCTCCCGCAAGCCTTTCACCAGTTGACGGAGCCCCACCTGGTGGGGACACGCTGTTCGTGGCGCGTCCTCATCGATACCCAAACGAAGACCTAGTCAAACCATCGAAGTTCCTTCTGCATGCAAATGAATTCTGCTTGGGTCTGGGCAATGGACATGTGGACATGGTTCTGAATTCATTCCAATAAATTGTTTTGAGAATGTTTTGAGCTAACTGCTCTGTCAAGACCACAGCTGCTTCGGGATGCAACAAGAAAGTGGTGTGTTGGCTAAACGAAATCCATCCCATGTGTTGGCAACCACGATCCACGTGCGGAACCTCTGCAGCTCGGACCCCTGCGTAATCAGGGTTGCCAATAGAATGTGTGAATCGCCATGGATATCTTTGAATGGCATCTCCTTGTTGTTTTTGTATGTTTCTGTCAATTCAGCTCCAACAAAAACATTCTTTGAGTCCCCAGCGTCGTTCTCGCAGTGCATCTCTCTAAACTCTTGACTCTTGACCCTTAAGCTTCAAACAAGCCAGGCTAGTCATTGCTACATACTCTTCGTGTACTAGCTTTCCTGCACCACAAGAGACACTTTCAACATAATTAATCCACTGTCCATACTAGTAGAGCTGGGGTTCCCATAATCCTGGAACTCCTTTTGGTCTTCAAAGAGAACTTGTCCGTAAAAATGAAACAACACAAAAGACCTATAGTTACATTCAATGCCAGTCTACAGCATTCCAACAATACTCCAGGCAGAACTGAACTGGTATCCAATAGAGATGGTGAGACGCTATTCACGGTTCTATCACGGTTCTATCTCTTGTAGTTAGTACGGGATGGATGCACGACTCTCGTTTGTCATGACCCAATGTCACTAAAGCAAAATATAGCAAAATAATACGCATGTCAATCCGCACCAGATGCAATGGTGTGATGGGCAATTCGATGGCCAAGCCTCAGTTTTCCACAGAAATTCAATGAGTGGTTTGTGAGCGCCAACGAGAAATTAATGGCATTCCCGATGGCGTTGGTGGTTTCTCATCAGTTGTTTTCTGCTACGCGATGACTTCATTTCAGGGCCGATGTTCTTCCGATAGTGCCTGAACGAATGGAAGGGATCCAAATCAGTCCAAATCGTTTGAAGAATCCCGCACTGGACATCTCAGGACCCTTCTAGAACCGCCGGGTTTCCGGTTCCATCCAGGTTCCCGATGATCGCTCCTGGATGGACTCAAACAAGACTGGTTCCTGTGCATGTTGTGGGTTGTCTGCCATCTAACTTAGAGACTATACCAGGCACCCTCCGAAACAAAGACCAGGAAAAGCTTCAAGACTTGGCACAAAAAACTCTGAGACCTTTTAACATGAGAACTTGTCCACCAAACAAAGCACTCTCCGCAAACTCGCTTCAACAGTACCTCCCACCTTCCTCCGGTCAAGCAACAAAGAGTGGCGACAGCCAACTCCAAGTCCTTCAGTGCCAAAGCTTCCTGCAAAGATGGTTTGATCCTTGGCATCTGCGGCAAAGGTGAGCGGTGCGATGAACGAGTCGAGCGGTGCGTTCGAACGGAGAAGCGGGTCGAGCGTTGGTCTGGTTGGGTGATGGGTCGAGACGACATGAAGTGAATCCTGTTGAGACAGAGTGTGAGAGTCAAAGATGCAGGTCGAAAGGGTTGCGATGGGCAGTGAGAGGAGGGGGTGAACGAAAGGTAGCAGGCAATCACAAGTAACCCTGGTAGAAGTCCACGACGGCGTGAACAGAATCAACTCTTACAGGACCAAATTCAATGCACAATCCCAACTCCTGATTGTAATACATTTTTGCTAAAGCAAGGAGAACTCAGGTAGCTCAAGCTACCTTTCGTGATATATATATATATAATACCTGATTGGTCTTTATATAATCATTTCGATTCACTAAGAACATATAATATCTCAGAAGTTATACCTCTTCCTACCCAACATGCAAACCTGATAAAAGTTACAATTTCCCCAGCTGGGAGGCCAATCGCACAAAGGCACTTGGGGCAGGGGTTGACTTTGCAACTGGGTGGCACTGTTCCACTTCCGGCTAGGGCCACTCGGGTGCAGAATTATGGTCGCGCTACACTTGGGCAGCTGAGTGGACACGACGGAAATGGTCACCCTGGGGCCTGGGAATGTCCAACTAGCTATGCATAACACCAGGATGTCCAGCTTACAAGTTCTTCTTGGTGTTCTTGCACAGGCTAGAATTGAACAAGACATCAACCCAAAGAAAAACAACTAAACACTGTATATGAAAGAAAAGTGTGCAAATAGACCGTAATAAATCGTCAGCTCATGATGCATCCCGCGACCCTGCTGGGCTCGTTGCAACCTTGTTGGAAAGGAATGTTTCTTGAACATGGGGGATGCTGTGCCAAATTTAGCTCTCTTGAAAAACTGTTCAACAAGTTGTACATGACCGCGAAAACCGTTGTTTGCTTTTGGTTAAGGTGTCCAAAAGTCCCAAACCCAGGTTTTGAGCATTCTGAGCCCAAACCTTTTCTCCTCCATGTGTTGCTTCTTTGAAAGTATGATGTCCGAAGCGCTAACAAAATAGCGCAGCTCTGATCGCACAACCAAGCGCAAACGTCAATGCGGCATCTAAAGGGCGGAAAAACCAGATCAACAAAAAACAAACGTCAAAGGTGCCCTGTCATTTGCTGCAAGCCAAACAGCATTCAAGAAAGCACAAATTCACGTCTTTACACCATGCTACATATACAAAAACGATCCTGACAACCTATTTGCATTGCAGCTAGTAAGTAACGTAATTAATGCCAGCCCACCCCACACACTACCTCCAGCCCGTTCAAGCCCGCTGGTGAAAACAAGGACACATGAGGACACAATCGTGCACGCCGAGAATCAACATATTGACGATTCCAGCTTCCATGAAAACGTTATGCTGAGTCTTTTGCAGCGCCATACTCTCCTCAAACAACCCGATTGTCTCTCCATCGAGAGAGCTCGTGGGGAAAGACCAGAAGGTTGGTCTGATGTGGTCTGGAACACTGGCACAACACCAACATAGCTAGAAGTGAAGTACACCAATCCGATATGTTCCCCATTTTTACATGCTCAACATTTTTACATGCTCAACACTTGATCCCCAGATGTCTTTCAACACAAGCTCCTCACAGATTTTGTATGATGAAACCCTTCCGAAGACCGTTGTCTGCGATTGATTCTTTAGTTTGTCTGGTTGTGAGTCAGCAAAACAAAAAACAAAACCGTCATCCTTTGGTCAAGCCGCGAAAGACTCAAACTGATTGTCAATGTCGAAAGGTGACAGAGTTCTTTCTGCAAAAGGCGTGGTCCCAGCATCGAGGTCGGGGCACGTGCGTGAGAGGAACATGTCACATGCAGTACGCCGTCTTGCCGAGAAATAATTTGAAGATTTGCCGGATGTTCCATGAAGTGGAGCCTGACACAGACCAAAGCTACTACGAAGACAGGGCATCGCCACTAGGAATCTAGGAGCAAGGACGCTACTAGTAGCTGCTGGCATCGCTACTAGGAGCAAGAAGCTACTATGTTGGGAAAAGATTGAGCCTTGGTCGTAGGGTTCTTGGTGTTCTGCCGACAATCATGGTGGTGTTCTCCACACTATTGGATGGATGGACGTCCATTCACATTGACGGAACACAACCATGTTTGTTTGGACCATCGCCAATAGACAGGAAGCACCCAAACATGTTCCCGATCTAGAGGAACTCACTTTGATGTCAAAATGACAGTTAAGATTCTTCACCCCCCATCCTGGGATTCTCTACACCCAAACCCACATCTGCTCGACTGGGACCGGGCAACCCATCGTGGAGACCATCCGCTCCGAGGGGCAAAGGCCAGGACGCGTGTCTCGGTTGAGCTGGTCTTCAACTCCTCCGCGGGTCTGTGGCGCAACGCGGCGCAACGCGGCGCATAGCACGCGGCTCGGCTTGGGATGTGGTGGGTCCCGAGCAGCACCAGTTAGCTCCAACTTCTTCAAAACAAAAGTGAGGGCACTATCTTGGTTGTCTTGGGTGGAATGGTGATTTGTTGCTTTCCCGGGATGCTTTTTGTGGAGAGATGACCCTGAGGACCCCTTCTTATTGTTTCATTATACTTATACTTGTAGTTGTATATATAATTCAATAATATGTATATATATATATAGATAGATATCAAATATATCCTTGCACCTTGAAGCAGGACCCCTGGATTCTTTCATCGACCAGCGTCATGCCGTGCGCACCTGGAACCTCTGCACCGTCCGTGGATAGCGCGTGCTCGGAGTCCGCGGACTCTTCGGCGTCGCAGGGGACCGATGTGGCCACGGCGGCGGCGTGCTCGGTGCCGGCTTGCTGGGTGGGGTGCAAAGGCCAGCGACTGGAGTCCACAATGGCCATGGAGTGACCTGGTGGAGGGAGACGACTGGAGACCTAGGAGGGAGACCGTGTGGGTTTTGAGCTGCTCATTCTTTGGAGCGCACCTCATGCTCATTACCAGGGTATTTGTCTGCCAGAAATGTTCACCAATTCTATGATTTAGTTGATCTTGATGCACACATTACCTGGGTCTGGAATGGTCTGCGTATTGTCTTTTCCCGTGTTTCCCATGTTTGATCCAAACTTCATCAATGTCGTTCCATGTTGTGCCTGTAAGCTGGCTCTCTCAATCATGTACCCTCAAGCAACACAAACGTTGAAGGCTCACGAGAGCGCAACATGCAAAGACAATAGCCTTGTAAACTATGCGACTTGCTTTAGCCTTCCAAAGAGATTCCTCAGATAATCATAAAAGTTCTGGAAAATGGTCTTCCAGCTGGAGCCAATGATTTGGAGAGTAGCGGACCAAAACAGGCCAAGTTTCATGGGATGCATACGTATATTTCATAGATACCCACTGTTTGCACAGTTGTTTCATGGTTTCATGGTTCTGATACCCCCCCAATTCTGCCATTTTAGCGGGTCTTAAATCAATGTGTCACTCGTTCTCCTCATCTCCGGCCTCGCCATCCTTGGCACTCCCTGGACTTCCCCAGAGCTCCCGCCGCGGCGTCGCCGGCGCTGCCGCTCTCGGAGCAGCTGCATCCCGCTGTCGCTGCCGCTCCCGGCGCAGCACAGGCGGAGGCGTCTCCTCAGGCGGTGAGGCTTCAAAAGCAAATACAGAATCTGTGATTTAGAAAATGTGTTGTTTTTGCTTTAGGTGATCCAACAAGAACTATACAGTAGATTCCACACCCTGCAACAAAAATGACGGTTGCACCTGTTTGGAAGAAACACAAATCAACTGGTCTAGGAGTCTAGGAGTGTTTTCTTTCTTTCTACACCACACTTCCAAACCTTTCCTTCCACGTTCAGCGACCTCCTGGGCCAAGCATCTGGTGCAGCCTCACCACGATCGTTCCGCCGCTTCACCGGGGTGGTGGGAGTGGACGCGAGGGGACTCAGCTCTGGCTGCTTCCACCTCTTGCGCCTCGGCAAAGCAAAACGTGAGCTGGCAAATCAGCTGGTGAACAGAGATCAACAAAGTCTCTGCAAAAGTGATGGCCCGGTTCCGGTTCGGGCGGATGTTTCTGGTTGGACGCATCCGAAGGCCCGCCCGGATGTAGACTGAGGGGACAACTGCTCCAAGTCATCGAATCACCTGATTTGCTCTTTCAAAAGAATCCCACCATGTCACCCCCCAACTTGGCCACCTTCGCCCGCCTCCTGGACTTCTTTGGTTCTGGGGTCGCAGGGGGCGAGCTCGCCACAGTCTCAGGGGAAATCTCCACCACGCTAGCTGCTTCCTCCACCGGGTCTTCCACTGCTGCGCCCTCTGCCACGCCCTCTGCCGCGTCCGGCGCGAGGTGGACGGGGCGGAAGAGTTCCGAGGACATCAGCGCACGCAAGAGCTTCACCACCTGGATGTCTGCCATGTTAAAATGATTTAAAATGCATGTGTCTGTCTGTGGATGATACTGATATGTTCCATCATGTTGCAGTGGTTGGAACATGTTGGAAAAGATAGTAATTCGGCGGTTGCTCGGATTGGGGGATTGCTAATCCCAGAACAAGCACTGCTGAGCAAGTGGGACAGATTACACCGAGAATCACAGCTCCAACTCCCAACGACTGCTTCATTTGAAGGGGAGAACCAGGACATGAACTGGTTCAGCAGACTGTGCTCTTGTTGTGAAAGTTGTCAAGCAAACCCAAATGATTAGGTCAAAAGTAGCTGTGACCCGCCACATGCGTGTGCTTCTTTCACGCCCACTTTGCATTGTCAACTCATCCCTCCATCAACCTACTTTCCACCACCCACGCGAGTGAATGAAAAGCATGGTGAAACATGTGCCAAGCCACTTTGTCTTGCTCTCCTTTGCACTTAGCTTCCAGCTGACACCTTGCATATCTCTGTCCTGCGGAACGATCACCAAGATCAGCAAGTGAGATAGCCGAGATGGCGAGGTTTTCCGAACTCCAACAGGTCGCATTCAACCGATTCAGCGAGGAAACCCAGAGCTCGGTGAAAGGAGTTCATGGCCAAACCCCAACCACCAATTGACATGTCCTCTGAGGCCCAGGAAACATGAGGGCAAACATGAGCTGAACTGAGTAGAACCACAAGTGAGGGCAACTAGCGAGGTTGTCAAGTCGTGATCTTCAGTCAAGCCTTGAAGCAAATGCTGAGAGGCACCTGACCAGGGGATGACCCGTGAAATCAACAAAGCATGCCTTGCTGGGACACAAAAGTATACTTTGATGCAGGATGATGCAGGCGGCGTGCTCAGGGTTCAGAAATGAAACACCAAACACATCGAAATCAAGCTGTTCATCGCTCTTTCCTCCTTTTCCCACTCCCACTCCTGGCTTCAGGTTGAGCCCCAAATGTGGATGTTGCAGCACCTCTGCACGGTCCCAGGCCGACCAACCAAAGAAGTCTGTAGAAAGGAAGAAGAAAAAAGCTGGTGGCCTCCACCCTAATAGCGATGCTAGTAGCGATGGCCTCCACCCTAGTAAAAAAGAACACTGCAAGTAGTGGCATCTATGATGCACCATGAAAGACCTCCAGACTCTGAGATATTCTGGGCGTCCTCCTTCCAGAGTCTGGAACACACATGTGCCAACCAGCGGGAAGAACACCTAAACACCATGGGAAACATATATATTTTTACCAGCTGAACACAGATATACATATTATATGTGATTTCAGTCGCTGTCCTTGAATTCCCTGGACGGTCAGACATGGTCAAACAAATGATTCTATTGTTGCTCTGGAAATGGGTTTGATGCGTCAGCGCAGGGAACAAAACTATGGCGTCGCTACCATGAGAACATCACATCACAACGCACAACGCACAACACTCCTACACGTTTTTATGTCGTCGTTCATGTGCATAAAACCAGATTACAGCCACTGCGATCTGGAACAACCTGACATGTTGTTGGTGTAAATGCTACACTGAAACACCTCGTCTTATTGTTCTTCCTTTCACCTCCCCCTGCCCAACCTCAAAGATCGCGCATTGGCAGTCCGCGCACCGCGCCGGACCGCGATGCTTCGGCGTTCCGGGGCTCGCCATGGCGGGAGAAACCGCTGATTGATCGGGCGCTGTCGAAGGGAATCTGCCTGAACGAGTAGCGTCCGATCGCTCCTAGTAGATCCTAGTAAGGCCAGGAGCCCCTAATAGCTTCTTGTTACTAGTAGTAAGGCACTTGTTCCTAGTAGCGATGCCAGGAGCCCCTAGTAGCGTCCTTGCTCCTAGTAGTAAGGAATTGAAAATGCTCCAGCTTTGAAAAAAGGTCAAGGCCTCGATGGATCCTGTCTGCGCCTGTGGCGGTTTCTTGGCAAAACCGCAAGACACCCCATAGTACCCAATGGGTCTGAAGTGTCGCATCCTGTTGTCCACTGTCGTCCAGAAGGAGTTGTCTCAGTTCCAAAGGAGTTTTTCTCTCACTCACTGAGACACTAAGTGTTGACTAAGTGTCACTTGGCTGCGCTGCTATGACAACGAGTTGCGGCTTACTTTCTGGTTAGGCGCGGGCAATGCAGAATGGTCACATATTACCATGTAGTCCTGAAAGGGAATGAACATGAGACTTGGCTAAACAATGGTGGCCTCAACATGAAGTAGCTCATCAAATCTTTGACCAAAGGAAAGTGTTTTGGCCAATGAATGTCGAATGTCTCCTCATTTGGCTTCTCGGTAGCAACTGTTAGCCTTCCCAAACCACTGAGGACCCTCTGAAACTCAGTTGCTGGAACCTTCCCAGAAGTTGCAGCAATCGGCCGGTCACAAAATGTCACAAGCAATCGGCCCCTGCTGCATGAAACCCCATTGAAATCATTGAAAACCTCAAATGTACCAATCAACCCACTTTTGGTGGTGGTGTGTGTGTGTGTGTGCGCGCCACCAATAACTCTTGGTGCACTGGGCGGGGTGCTGTCAACGAAAAATGACCGGTGATGGCTCCTCTAGCTAGTTGATTGCAGTTGTGTAGGTGGCGTACACAAAACTCGCCTGTCCGGTCGAGCAAGCCAACTTTGAGATCCAAATGGACATCTGTGGAGCTCATCTCCCACTCCCACAAACACATCACATGGTGACCGGTGGACAAACCCTTGTTTGTAGAGGAACATAGTCTGTCAGATTGCCATGCCAACCACTTCCCTATGAGTGGGAGCGTAAGCAAATACTTCAAGGAGATTAACCGGACAAAAATTGGTATCCTCAAATTATGATATAAGTATTATATAGAGATGTCTCCTTGTTTGAGTGGTGCACGCTGCATCTCAAACACGACGTATGCTACCCTCCAGCTCTCAAGATTTTATGGGTCAAACCAACCAGTGCAACAAACAAGCACAGAACCCAATTAAAACACTGTTTGAAGGTGCCAAGCAGTGCAGGCAACATCCTGCTATTGCTCCAAGCATCATCTTTTTTGAATGTTCGCCGTCATCCATCCACACATGCCACAGCACCACACTGCTGGGTCTTCCCTGCCTTGCGAAAGCACTCGTCGAAGTCATCTCCCCAAAATCCACAGGTGTCTTCATCTGCCCAGTCACGACCGTCGATGCCTCACCAGTTGCAACAACTCTTGCATCAAAAGCGTGGGTGTGTGCATTTGGCATCAAAAGCACCTTGTCCTGCCTGGAAAAACTTGGTTCGGCCAATCTAATTGGGTTTTCCCTGTCCCATGAGTGGTCCTGGCATCTCCAACGATGGCTCTGGGTCAAATCAGCACATGGCGAGTTGCTGCTTTAGCCTCCACGTCTCCTTGTTTTCACCCAAAAACACCAAGTTCCACTCAGTAAAATTGTCTCCTCTAGACCCAAAAAGGCTCTTCCAAAACTGCACATCTTCCATCCTCTTCCCATTCCCCCACACCTCTGGAACCAAGGTACATGGATACACCAAAGCCTGCGCTTCCAACGGCCGTGTCGCTTGGGAGGTGCGAAGGCCCACGGAGGCCACCAAGTGGCCCCCAGCGCTGAAGCCCAGAGCGCACACGGGGCCTACCGAGAAGCCCATCGGCTGAGGAACACGTCACGAGGAGGTCGCAAGTCTGGCCATCTGGCCAGTTTTGTGCTTGGAGGGATGTGAAAGAAGACTCCCATCATCCCTCCAAACATCGCCCATGATATCGCCTTTTCCCAGCCAGAATCGATGTGGACACGCCGAATCGATCGATCACGCGAAAGGAAAATCACGAAAATCGCCTCGAAAGGTTTGTCTCAGCAGCTGCGCAGCTACCTCCAAATCCTCCGGCCGTTGACTGAGCTGTTTGAGATACACCAGAGAACTCAAAGAGATCAACGGAGATCAATGCAGGGATCATCAGGGATCAAATACTGTGAATGAGTTTGATTTGGTGCTTGGGCTCACTCCTGCAAAGTGTGAAGAAGATTTCCTGCAGTTCCTTTGGCTCCGGGAATGGGGATATGTGGAGCGCCAAAGACGTTTGCTCTGAACCATCTACACAGCACTAGGCGACGGCTGGCTAGTGCTGGTTTCTTGGATGAATTCATGCGGCTTGTTCCCTCAGTCACCACTATAAGTGTGATCGCTCCGACGGGAGCAATAGAATATACAGTAAGAGGATGGAATGGGAAGTCATTCCTGGCAGGCAAAAGATTCGCACAAACTGGGCAGGTCGCCAAGCTGGTGGCCCTAGTATATATATATATAGACCATGAGTTGGCATCCCAAAAAGACATTTCGGGTGACCTTCCCCCAGAGGTGTCTTCACCGATTCTTGTGGCCCAGCCAGTCCCTCAGTTTGAATGGACGATGAGACGCACCAGGACCTTCCATTTGGGGAACCAATTTCCACCGGACTGAGGATGACTGAAGGACTGAAGGACGGCATCCCTTTGGGTCGAAGAAAGGCAGAACCCTTCGAAGAATCGTGCCCCATGGGGCGGTGATGTAGTTGCAGCCGGCCAAGAAGGATGTGTGGTTCCGTTGTAGCATTACTCAAACAGCCACATGATCTGTATATTCAATATTCATGTGTTGGAGTACCAAGTTGGAATCTGCCTCCCGACAGTCGCTGCAAGAGTGCTGTCGGGCGTCCTGCTGCATGTCTTCAAAGTCGTACTTCGGCAGCAGCCGGTAGCGAAGCACATAGGCGCGGAAGCCCTGCACGACCGGTGAGTTTAGAGCGGTCTAGTCCAGTCGTGGGCGACATGTCAGGAAATTGAAAATGGACACCGCTCATGAGCCCTTGAGCAGTTGGACTTTGCAATTTGTGATCTTCCACCCGCATGAAAGGGAACGTCGATTGGAAGCACCCAACATGCACTGATGCATATTGATTCTTATTGGGGAACCGCATGGAGCAGTTATATTTACGGTTTCGAGATGGTCAAACCAGGCACGGCTCCCGCTTGAGGGAATGAGTTGTGCGGGTTCCCCGGAACTCGAGGTTGATGTCTTCGGTGTGCATGTCTTGTGTTGGCATGAGGTATAGCTACCTTTGAACCGTGAAGAAACATTGCCAACCTGACTGGGTTCGAACCATAGGCAATAATTGCACACTCTTCTGCCTCCAATACTGGTACAGCCAGCTCTTCATGCATCTCCCTTTGAGATTTTTACGTCGGCGTTACACGAAAACTTGCGGCACTGTCCCAATGCTTCCTGCGCAGCACCTAGTGGAAAGACCGGCCCCTAGTGGTTGATAGATGAGTCACATAGCATTGTGTGTAAAAAAACACATTTACTGACTACCACTATCAGTTTCCGAACGCCAACATAAGATCAAAATAGAACTAACAGCAGTGCCCAGACCTTCTGCGCGAAATACTCCGCAACCGGCGGTCCCTCGTGAGGCACCAAGAACCTCAACTGCTTGCCCCGCCCGGTCCAAACCGTTTTCTTGCAGAGGCATGGTTTCCTGTTGGGAGGACCGGCTTGGTGAAGGTTTCAGGGATTTTCACCAGAAGGAGGGCCTGCCTAGGGGCATCGTGGCTGCATGTGGATCTCTTGAAGATGATAAGTAACTGAAGTAACTGTTGCTAAATGCAATGGTCAGGTTTTGACTATCCCACTGTGAAAAACAACACATCACAAGTCCAAAAACGCTGATTGTGGTTTACAAGTTGACAAACCGGTTTTGTCAGTTCTGGGCAAATCTCCGAAATCATCACGGGAAGGCATGGTCCACCAGCCAAAGAAGTAGAATAAGTACTGTACTATAGGCACAAAATGTGTATACACACAAGATTACTCCTTTTTGTTTTGTACAAAAAACTGCTTTGAGTAGCCAAGGCCTGTAAGAACTTTGAAGCACTGCCAACCTGCGAACGTTTTGCCTACCAAGTTGCTGCTGTAGCGCATCGCTACTAGTAGCTTCTTGTTTATAGTAGTAATGCCCTTGTTACTAGTAGCGATGCCCTTGTTACCAGTAGCTTCTTGCTTCCAAGTTGCTGGTAGTTCCCACCCGGGCAAATGATGATGCTCCCAGCCGTCGCCCGATGGTCGGGCGTCGTTGTTGAGGGCAGCAAGCGAGGGGTGTTCGGGCCGAAGAAAAGAGGATCCAACCTGGCCAGCACTTTGGGAGTTGTACTTTGGCTGACGATACATATGTCCATCACACTTCATCACCGAATTCTGTGCCATCACGAATTATCAATTATGCATGGTGGCTACTTGATGACAAGGGCATTGATACTAGTAGCAAGAAGCTACTAGGTGGAGGCCATCGCTATTAGAGTGGAGGCCATTACTACTAGTAACAAGAAGCTACTAGGTGGAGGCCATCGCTATGAGGTTGGAGGCCATTACTACTAGTAACAAGAAGCTACTGGGTGGAGACCATTGCAATTAGGTTGGAGGCCATTACTACTAGTAACAGGAAGCTACTAGGTGGAGGCCATCGCTATTAGGTTGGAGGCCATTACTAGTAGTAACAAGAAGCTACTAGGTGGAGGCCATCGCTATTAGGTTGGAGGCCATTACTAGTAGTAACAAGAAGCTACTAGGTGGAGGCCATCGCTATTAGGTTGGAGGCCATTACTAGTAGTAACAAGAAGCTACTAGTAACAAAGGCATTATGCCGACCACACTACTGAGCTTTTTCCAGGGTGCCGGATCTTCGGCAGCCGCGGGCGCTTCGCACAAGTGGAGCAGACCAGCCACCACGAGCCTTGGTTAAACTGCCTGGTGGGCCTCATACTCACATAGGGCATCTAGAAAGCGGGGCATCTATATTCTACATTATAGTGCCATATAGTGCATGTATATTTATGTAGACGCACTAGCAAGAGCGTCTGCCAGCGCGCCGTTTTCACCTAAGGCGCAGCACGAAATGGCTTCAGGCCTTGATCCAAGCGAACATGAACAACCATGTTCCTCCGCCTGCCCAACACCGAAGAGCAAACTCAACTTTCACAGTTCATCCCCTTCTCTTGTGGCATTTGAGGGGTTGGGCAACGGCTGAACACGGTCACGAGTAAAGCAACAGGCTCCTCAAGCATCGATCGAGGATTCTGGAGCTCTCGCATGTCGACAGAGTCTTCCAACTGTCGCCAAATCACACTATGTTCGCTGTCAAAGCGGGCAAAAGTGGAACGAAACGCATGTGTCGTTCTTGAACAGCGTGGCTCTGGGGTCCTGTACGAACGAGCCTGACGGCACACGTTGACGGCCAAATCTTCATTCAAAACATGCCAACCTGAGCTCTGTGAGAGCTTCATCACATGGCCAAACAACGGGGAGGAGCTTTCAAAAGGGACTCCCATGTCACTTCTCACCAACCTTCCGGTCTGTTGTGAGTTAGCCATGGGCTTCTTACTTTTGGACGTCTGTTTGACGTACTGGGAGGAAAACTGTACACACCACTTGCAATCTTTCAGGATCTTGTGAAGGTGCTGAGGGTCAAGCTCCTTAGTGCCGCAGTCTACGATCATGTTCTCTGTTGCTGTCCAACGCATGCTCGTGTTGCATCGAGCCAGCATTGAACGAATCCAGCTTATGGTGAAAGCTAAACTCTTTTGGCTGCCATAGCTCGGCGTTTCTGAGCAGGATTTGTCGAATGCATCCTTGGCGTCGGTGACAACCAACAGGGGCACGGAATCCGTGCTAAGGTCAAAGGGCTTCCGGTCGAGTGGATGACCGAAAGCTTCGCCAAGCACGCCGCGGCAATATTGTCCGGCATCCAGCGCCTCCTCAATGCCCAGCAACTCTGCGGCAAATGTCGATCTGCATACCCGGTTCAGTCGATGAGACCGGGCGTCCAACACTGTGAACTTGCCTTCTCTGCCGCTCATGAGGTTTTCGTCAGCAATGAGGACAAAGTAGGCGGCTTGACTATAGACCTTCTTGATGGCCGCTTCGTGGGAACTACCGCTTTTCGTCACATTGCCAAGCGAGGCATCAGAAACAACGAGGATCCCAGCATTCTTCATGTCCAAGGGCTTGAAGTGCAGAGCGAAGTCTGCGTGGAGCTTTGCCTTTCTAACTAAGGCGTTGGCGCGGATCAACGTCTCGATGGTCTGGGAAGCACCCTGCAATGTCGACAACTGAAATTGCAAGTCAAAGCGAACTTGCGCTACCAGCCACTGCAAACTCACAAGGAGAGCTCTGAGCTGGCGTTGTTCCCCAGGCATCAAAGTAGCTTCTGGATTCTTCTTTCGAAGTGGGTTGATGCGCACCTGCTGAAGATTGCTATGGTACTCTTCCATGGAAACTTTCACTGAAAAATCTTCAGCTTGCTCAATCTTCTTTCCACAATAGGTTATGGTTCCGGTGGAGGTGGAACCAAACCCAAGTTCGGCACCCAGCAATTGCAAGGTGTGGTGCGCACGAGGGCCTCCGGCCAGTAGCAAGTCATCCACGTGGGAGATGAGGATGCCTTCCAGTTTGGAACCTTCCCACAGGAACCACATGGCCGAATCCAGAGCTGAAAGTTGCCAACCATGGTGTTGTACTGACTTGCATAACCTCTTATACCAACGACGAGGGCTGTCAGCTAAGCCAAATACTCCCTTTTTCACACGACATAAGCCTGCTTCAGAGAATGGTAGGCGTGGCTCATCAGGTGCTCTGGTCTTCACGTTGGCGAGGTAGAGGATGCGTTCATTGGGGCCAAACTCTTCACCTTTCATGAATGCCGACTTGATGTCAGCACTTGCCAGCTTCCACTTCATACTGGCGGCAAAGGTCAGCAAAAGATGCTGAGAAGTTCTCGACGCTGTTGGAGCATCACAGCGAAGGCCATATGCACTAATGTCTTGGTATCCGGGGACGACCAGCCTGGCGTTAGCCTTGAGTGGAAGGTCCCGGTCTGCCGTCCTCAGTCCGTCATTCTTGTCCACATAGACGAAGCGAGGAACCAAGATGCGGTGGCTTTCACCTTCTGTCTTCAACTTCTGCCTAATGCGGGCAGCTTCGGCATCTGGAAGAGGTTCGATGGCTTCATTTTCAACCCATACCCAATAGACCAGGTTAGACTATTTTTTGTCTAAGATCTATTTTGTCAAAAAATTGTCTATTAGATAACTTTTTTGTTGCCTAAGACAACATGATTTTTGGCTAAGACAACTTTTCAAAATTTGTCTAAGTCTATTTTGAAGAAACAGTCTTAGACTATTTTTGGCCGTGTCTGAGACAATTTTTTTGTCTCAGACAAATCAATACTTCCTCAAAACTGCCACAGGCACTGAGGAAGTTTACTTGCAGTTTCATCATAGGCATGAGGAAGTTTATGTTACAAAATTTGCATATTATTGCAGTTTCAGTCCATGTGCATGACAAACTTCCACACTTGCAGGTTGAAACTGCCTACAAACTTCCATCAAACTACCTCCAAACTGCCACAAAAAGAAAGGAAGTTTGAAGGAAGTTTTGAAAAACAGACGAGGTAGTTTCGAGGAAATTTCCTTGAAATTTCCTCGTTTGCAGCCGCGAAAATTTGTCTAAGACAGCAGATTTTTGTCTATTAGACAACTTTTGTTTTGTCTATTAGATAACTTTTCGTCACATAAAGTTGTCTAAGACAAATCACCAAAATTTATCTAATAGACAAATTTTAAGAAATTGTCTATTAGACAATTTTTTGTCTAACCTCGTCTATTGGGTACTGACCATCCTTTGGCTGCTGCTTCACGGAACTCCTTTTTCTCAAAGTCCGACATGTGACTCCATACATGCTCCTTACGAGCAGTGAGCACTGCAAGCACTTCCTGAGCAGCATCATCATTGCCAAGGGGCCAAAGTTGCTTCAGCATTTGCCGTCGTTTGAATTCTGTCCTCGAGGGGAGAGGCCAATTGCCACGCCATGTCCCATGGTCTCGGACTCTGGCTTCCAAGGGATTCAGACGATCCTGTTCCGCCATGATCTGGATCTGACGGAGCGGATGCACATTGGCATAGGCTTCCATTTCCATCACTTCATGAGTCACTCTCAGGGCTTCGGAAGCTTCATCAGGAACTTCATCTGGAGGTTGAACCGGAGTTGGAGCAACAGGGTCTGGTTGAAGAGCTTCTTCACGCAAGCGCTCAGCATCCAGTTCAGCAGGCCTCTTGGAAGCTTGTGACTCGCCGCTAGCACTTGGGGCGGCACTGGAAACGCTCTGCCGTCTCTGTTCAAAGGCAGCTCGTACAGCTTCAGGAAATGGAGATGTACCTAAGTCTGGCAAAGAAGAAGTATGCCGAGACCATCCTCTTGAGATAGGACCACCTTGAGCATTGCCGAGGGCTTGCACAAACTCTTGAGGATGTAAAGGTGGTAGATCGGCAGGAGCTTCTTCAGGTACGGCCGAAAGAGGAACAGGTTCAACAGGTAGAGACACTCCCGTCATCGGTCCACCCTGTGCTTCGGGTTCAGCCGAGGTGGTTGTAGATGAGGAGGTCGTTGGTATCTGTCGATCATGGTATGCCGCATCGATGACTTCCTGAATGGCATCTTGCCATACCTCACTCGCAACTTGTTCCAGGGAGCTGGCTGGTCTCAAATGCTCAATAGCGCACTTGGTCAGTTGTCCTCTGAAACTCACATATCCATTCACATTGCCCTCCAAAGCGACGAGGAGGGCAGGGCCATGCCATCGCTTGAGACTGAGGCGTTTCTTGGATGCAGCTGTTCGGTTGTTGAACCGAGTTTGTCTGAAGAAGTAGACGATATCTCCAGGAGATAGGCCATGTTCTGCAGTCGGTCCTCGAGAACGGGCTAGTTCAGCTCGTCGAAGGCCTTTAGAAAAATGAAGGCGCACCATCGCCAACCGAGCAGTCTCTCGCATGGCAACTTGTCTGGCCAAACTCGGCCGGGAGTCGATGAGTCCATGCTCACTCAAGCGGCGACCAAAATCACCAAGGCAATCTCCGTGCATCCGGGGTTGCTTTCCAAAGGCAGCTTGCATAGGAGAGACACCAGCGTCGTTGATGTCCGAGTTGTAGGCGCTTACTGCCTCCTGGAGACAAAGTTCAACATCATCTTTTCCCAAGGCCGAATGAGCCTTGATGCACGAACGAAGAATGCCCTTTAGGATAGCGCCACCGCGCTCACATACACCATTCTGCCAAGGGGCTTGGACCGCGGTGTGGTGGAGGTAGATGCTCCATGAACTGCAGAACTCTTCAAACTCAGCAGACACGAACTCTTTGCCCTGATCTGCTATCAGGACTCTTGGTGCTCCCAAGATGGGTAGCCACCTGGTCTTGAAGAAGCGCTCCACCATGCTCGAACCTTTTGTTTCCAAAACTTCAGCAAACTGCAGCCTGGAGACATAGTCAATGGCATGGATCACATAGAAGCGCTTTTCGCCAATGTCTTCAATCTCAAAGAGGTCCACATGGACCTGGTCGCCCACATCCTTGGGTAGTGGCAAGGTAGCAGGCCGTCTGGCCTTTGGGATCTTCCGCTCGTCGCAAATTGAGCATTTGAGGTGACGAGCAGCATGGATGATGTCCGGAGGGGCACCAGTGATAGCCAGTGCTCTGGCTAGGCGACGGCCAGATCGGTGGCCCGTGTTTTCATGTAGGCGTCGAAGAGCTTGCTTCACAGCAGCTGACACCTTGGGTCCAGTGACAGCTTCAGTGGACTCCTGATCAGAGTCACTCAGGTTCATGTCAATCGGCAGGGCGGTCTCATCTTCAGCCTCCTCACCGTCTTCGATGGCAAGGATGTTGTGTGGTCTTTTGAAGTCA